GCAGGAGCCAGATGCAATTGATCTGGATATCCTGCAGAGTAGGGTTGTCATCGGGAAAGTTACCCATCTCCAAGATGGCTTTGGTCGTATTGATGCACAAGTGACTTTTGATGTTGATGATTGCAAAGATGGATACGTTCCGATAATAGGAGACTGGGTGACGGCTAATGTTGTCGAGCATGCTGAAGAAAAAAGTAGGTCTGAATGGATCTGGTATTCAAGATGTATAGTGTTTTGTGACATGCATGTAATATTTTCTTCTTTTCCTTCATTTACCCTGGCAAAGCGTTGGTGGTGGTGGTGGGGGGGGGGGGGATGTAAGGGTTGTTTGTGTATTCTTTCTAGTGCATTGTATAAGATTATCCTAATTTCCTTAATGATTCTTTTATGCCATTGTTCCGTCCTCTGTGTGGTTTTTCCTTGCCATGTGTTCACTATATTTTTGTGTGTGGAAGGAGTTACTAGGGAATTTTTGTCAAAAGGCCAAACCATCTCAGTCATGTTATATGCTGTGTGAATCTGTTGTGTGAGGTTACTTGTTGTGTTTTATATATTTTTAAGTGTCTGTCTGTCCATCCATCTCCCTATTAATTTGTCTGTCTTTTTGACTCTTTGTCTGTCCACTGCCTATCCATCCACTCTACCAACTCACCCTCTATCTGTCCATTTATCTACTCTTTGAAAATAAAGTTTGTTCATTAATTTGTTCTGTCTGTCTCTAAATATTGTCATTAGGTTAGCAGCAAAGGCTGCAGCTAAATTATATCTGTGTACACTTTCTGTACAGTTCAGGAAGACGAGTGGGATGACTCAGGTGACGTTCAAGTGAAGCGAGCCTACAACATCTGCCCGGCCCGGGTCCGCAACTTTGAAGGTTTTGTTTCTTGTTTTAAAGCTGACCATGGCTACATCAGTGGAGATGTAAGTGTTTTCACATGAATATATGCCAGTTGTTTATTCCTTTGCCTGTCAGTTGACTTGTTTATACATCCCTGTCCTTCCTGCTGTCTATGTATCTACATTTCTGCTTACCTACCGATCTCTTTTCTTCCATTACAAGTTATAATGACCAGTTCTTTAATCAGCTATTGGCATCCAATTTCAGGAAATCCTTAATTATGAGGTGGCTTCAGATGTGAATGACATTGCTGCACATCTTGACACCAATCAAGGTTCAGCACACCAAATCATCCTTGATGTGGTGCAGTACCGCAGAGTGGGTGCCACAGCAGCCGAGTCCAGAATTAAAAACAACGCATTTGGTGCTTTGAAACAGAGTGTGTTTGTTTCCTTTTAAGAATTGTTACTGAGATAAAACATTGGTTCACTGCCATGAACCGGAAACAGAGTGAGCAAGTAATGGCGCCATCCCTCTTCACAGAAACTAAAGAAGTTTTGCACGTAGCCGTCTGCAGGAAAGGTTATGCTGACTTTCTTTTGAGATGAATAGGGCATTTTTTTACAGCACTACACATCAATGTGTAAACCAGTGATAGTAAACTGATCTTCTCAGGAATCATCTTCGACCTGCAATTAAATTCAAATAATGTGGACTTCTGAATAAAGATGTCCTTTTGCAGCTTGACAATGCTGGACCCCATACTGCCCATGCAACACCTGAAACCATTGAAGTCCTCCACTTTCCTTGTGTACCACACTCCCTGTACTTGCCACACCTAAGTGATTTTCACCTGTTTGGAAAACTGCAGTCACTGGCCGGATTAAGACTCTTTAATGACCGAAACACTTAGGTGTTGCCCCCCCCCCCCCCCCCCCCCCCAATCACCCTTTTCCCCCATCACTTAAATAGATTTTGGTGGGCCCCTGCTCCCTGCAGAGCCTTTACATCGCAGCATCATGGGTTCCTGGGCAAACCAGTGGGCCCTACAGTAACCACTCACAGGAATGAAAATACCCACACCATTTGAGGTTTTTATTTAAAACCCTCATCCTAGTTGCCTTTTACAACATACTTGTTAAGAAGTAGTGGATGTACCTTCCCCCACCTCCCTCCTGGACCTCAGAACCACATGGGAAATAGGATTCATGGGAGAACGGCGTAATGGGGGCATACATAGAATACCTAGAACAGCCCCACTGACACTGTCTATGGATTGGTATTGGCTATTCTGGTTGTTTTAGTTCACTTTCCTATTAAATTTTCCGTAGTTTGTTTACATTGTTGTTTAGATGTATTCTTAAGGCCCATATAATAAACATGTAGTTTGCATCTTTACTTTGCTAAAACATTTACATAGCTAATTTTATATGTTTATTTTCCCTGTGTTCTGTAAATCCAGATTTCTTGATAATGTAAAATGTCTGCCCCTGGCTGACATGTTTTATTGTAACTCTGCAGACATTTTTCACTCAGTCCTCCTGCCTCAATGGATATCACCCAAAGAAAAGTGATTCTGTCAAGGTCATGGCTATAGAAAGTTTACAGGGCAAGTGCGAATGGAGGGCTGTCAGTGTTGTTCCTCTATCCAGTGTATCTGAGGCTTACAGGTAAGCATACGGCCAGAGATTGTAAATATGAGGGCTATTCCAAAATAAACCTCCGATTGGCTCGTAAAAATAAACCATTTGCCAAAACGACACGGTTCATTGCTTGCATCATTCAGTGGTTCATGAACCGCAAACGAATAAACATAGACATTGTCATTGCCTGTCCTGCCAGCTGTGAAATTTATGGTGTCATCCATTTTCTTCAAGTAGAAGGTCAAAATGCTCAGCCTTGAGCTGATAATCCGGGCTTCTTAGAGTTGTCTCCTCGGTGAGTCATACTTCTGTGAGATGGGACTTATTTCGGTACTTGCATTATACACTTCTGCGCACGTTTAGCTGCCATTTTACTAGTTTCAGATTACATTGATTATTATCTAATTTTGGGAGGGGGGGGGGGGTGTTATAGAACCAGTTGCTTCCTACATGTGTGCCGGTGCCTCATGGGTGGGGGGGGGGGGGAATAGATCCACTGCGCCACCTCCCAATAAGTATGTTGTAAAAGGCAACTAATTAGGGGTTTTTTCTTCGAAGCTGGGGTGCAGCTGCATGAGAACCAACAGACTGCATACTAAAAATAAACTAGATCTGCAGAACAGAAGTGGACGAAAAACTGAAGCTTTTTGCCCAAGTTTACGGGCAGTGAGCAATAAGGAAGAAGAAGAAGTTACCTTTCAACCTACTGTATCTAGTATAAAGACTGGTAGCAGGAAGAAGGAGCAGGGGCCGACCAACACGAAGATGGGCACAGGATGTAAGTGACTGCTTGAATATGAAAGTACACGAGGCGGGTGAGCTGGCGAGAGACCAAGTTTCTTTCAGGTAGACTGTGATGAGAGCGACGTTCTGCAAAGGACCTGCTACATGATGATAATAAAGTCTGAAGACTACTTATTTTCTTCTGTGGAACAAGGCAGATGTGGTGAAGGCTCTTTGGGCGTACTTGAGCAATGCAGAAAAGTGTACTGGTCACCGCAGTCTAGAATGAATGATATAAATGTGGGTGACCTTAGGATCTGGTAGATACTCAGTTAGTTAGTTAGTCGACAAATTATCCCCATTGCACGTTGAACCACTCATTCCATAAGTGCTCGGATCCTCTCCTCGGTAAATCCCGCAGCGTGTAGCGGCTAACAACACCAGTTCTGTGTTGGTTTATTCTTCTTCTTTGGCTACCCGTGTAGTGTTCTTGTTTGGTGACAGTCCGTTTAACATGTTGTTCTGGCAGTCTAACCATGGTTGCAGATTCACAGTTCTCAGTTGATTCACACAAATGTCTTAACTCTCTTAGAGCATTCAGCATATCAGCCTGGTCCACTGCTTGTCCGGCTTTCACAGTGGCCTTACCTACAAGCCTATCAGCTTGCTTGTTTCCTTGTACCCCGACACTCAGTGATAAGAGTAAAGGCAATACATTCAATGAACACCAACATTGTCACTATTGATATTAGAACTCTGTGCTGGCTGCTGTAGCTGAGAATGGAGCATTTATGGGATGATCCCAAGTTCTGTGATGTCTGTGAAGTCTGAACTCTCTTCCATTAAGTTTGTAACACACATTGTTCTGGTAGTCTGGATCCTCTAATTATTGATTGCCTTTTAAGTGCTTCTTGTAAACTTCTTGGCCTTGGACTCATCACACTTAATGTCTGTAACGTGCTGAGGTGTTTTTCTACCTTCCTTTTACAATATTGTCTCATGCTTCTTCTTCTTCTTCTTCTTCTTCTTCTTCTTCTTCTTCTTCTTCTTCTTCTTCTTCTTCTTCTTCTTCTTCTTCTTCTTCTTCTTCTTCTTCTTCTTCTAATTCTTCTAATTCTTCTTCTTCTTCTTCTAATTCTTCTTCTTCTTCTGTTCCATAAGGCCTTGAAAGGGCAGTTCATACGTTGTTTTGTTGTTTAAAGCATGGCTGTGATATCTGCACCTTTTGACCCAACACAACAGCCCAGCAAATCCCAAATGAGTCACTTGTTATGATATGCTGGGGTGGGTGCGGGAGCAGTGGGTCAATTCTCCACACCTCCCTACCACCCCAAAATGGCACCAAAATGAAGCAATCCTTTACTTAAATTGCTTGTCAGGGAGCAGTGGGTCAATTCTCCACACCTCCCTACCACCCCAAATGGCACCAAAATGAAGCAATCCTTTACTTAAATTGCTTGTCAGGGAGCAGTGGGTCAATTCTCCACACCCCCCTACCACCCCAAATGGCACCAAAATGAAGCAATCCTTTACTTAAATTGCTTGTCAGGGAGCAGTGGGTCAATTCTCCACACCTCCCTACCACCCCAAATGACACCAAAATGAAGCAATCCTTTACTTAAATTGCTTGTCAGGGAGCAGTAAACCTGTTCTTTTTCCTTTCAACTTTTTAATTTCCAGGTACAATGTAAAGAGAGAGGGTCCATTGTGTTTGAACCATCTAGACTTCTGCTGACTTACGTCTGCTAGTATTTGTTATAATTTGAAGACCTTATCTTACTTTGTTTTTATTTCAGGTCAAAGCAGTTCCAACAGCCCAGTAAACAAGAAAATGGATCGTGGTTAATCCCAGGCCAGAGGCCTAAAACGTAAGTAGTGAAATTGAGATAATTAGGAAACAGAACAAGATTTTATTATAAACATGAGTCATAGCAGATGTTGAGATTTGGAATAGACCCATAGCCTCCCCAACAAGCATGTCACAGAAGTCAACCAACTGGGGACTTCGAAGTTGGTGTGTATCTGCCAGAGCGGCTAGGAGCAACCAACTGCACACAAATAAGCCAGTAAAACTGATGTACATGCAAAACTCAGGCCCTGACACAAAGCCAAAATCCAGATGGAGAAACAACCAGAACTTTCCACCGTTGAACAAAGAAGGGAAGAAGAAGAATCTTGCCCTGCTCAGCAGAAATGTTTTTTGTTTGTTTGTTCCACCACTAATCAGTCATCTTTTTAAAACAACATTTCTGTTTAGTTTCAGTTCTGCACAGAAGGTTGTCCTCCCTGTGAAGCTTCCTCACTTCAATGTACCAGAAAACTTACAGAGTTCTGTGTTAGATGCGACAGAGCTTACGGATGTTGTTCCTCAGCTCTCCCAGGTTGGTCTTCTTTGTTTGTTACAGATCTCTGTACATTGTTCTGATGCTGTGGAATGTACTTCAGAATATGATTTACATATTCAATATTGTTTTGTTTTTTTATTATTACAAAATCATGTCACCCACTCCTCCTTGTCCTCTTCATTTGCTTCCCCCCTGGAAATCAGTCAGCATCTATCATGAGTCTTTTAATATTCTGTTGGTTTACAACAAATTCATTTTTTTGTCATTGTGTGGGACCATCCAGTAGATAGAGTCTTTTGGATATTTTCTCCATGGTATGTGTGTTGGGAAATGAACAGGCAGACAGAATGGCTGATTTGACACCACATTTTTTTAAATTGATGCATGACAAGCAAGCTATTAGTCAAGGACCTCTAGCGAGTGAAGATTGTTGAAGCACACATAGATTATCACAGTCTTTAGAGAATGCTGTCACAATCTTTAGAGAATGCTGTCACAGTCTTTAGAGAATGCTGTCACAGTCTTTAGAGAATGCTGTCACAGTCTTTAGAGAATCCTGTCACAGTCTTTAGAGAATGCTGTCACAGTCTTTAGAGAATGCTGTCACAGTCTTTAGAGAATGCTGTCACAGTCTTTAGAGAATGCTGCAGCTGGGAACAACCTGGGGTCTGGCCAATGCTCAGTACTCAGGGGGAAAGCAGTGTGGACATACAATTAGACAGATGCTTTTACCATCAGAAGTGGAATTCGATGCTGGCTGCTGAAGATGGGGAGGAGCTTGTATGGGAATAAATTGAGTGCTTTGATGTCAGTTTTCAACTCAACTTAGCTATAGACCATTTTTCTGTCAACATTCACCATGCTTCAATAAGATATCCTTTTCTCACCTCATTGTGACTTTCATCACATAGTTCATTAATTTGTCACTTCATGTTACTTATTTGTTACTTGTTTCCATTTAGCCATCCACTTATTAACCCATCTGCTATTGACCCACTAGCCGTCACTTCATCTATCCATCAGCTTTTTTAACTAACTGCTTATCTATCTACTCATTCCCTTACCTAGTCACTCATGCATCTACTCAATCTCTAATCCTTTCACTCATCTACTTGTTTGATCATCTTTCTACCCTCTAAGACATCCATTGTAAACCCCCCCCCCCCCCCCCCACTTATCTGTCCAGCCGCTCATCCATTCAATTATCCATCAGCGTGTTCAACCTCCCACTTATCTCTCCATCTGTTATTTATTTACCCATTAATCAGTATGTTGTTTCACCTAACTTTTGACCCCCCCCCCCCCCCCCCCCCCCCCCCCCCACCCCCCCCCCCCCCCCCACCCATTCATGCATGAATCTATCCATCCAGTAATGTATGAAATATGGAGCAGTTTTACTGTAGATTTTTCCTGTGTGTTAATCTCACCCCAGGAATTAAGTTTCCCCAACTACTCGCGGCGAATGTCAACTCTTCTATACCTGGAGGAGATTCAGATGCAGATGGACATCCGAGAGTTTGATATGAACCGAGTAAGTGTGCCAACTTTCAGTATTGTCTTTACTGCCAGTAAACAAAATGCTGAGTGTGTATTGTATCATCATCATCACCAATTTACACTTTTGCCATTAAGTGTTGTGGGGGAGGGGGGAGACAGTTTGCGATCCACTGCTGGATGTGGATGTAGAATGTCTTTAGTGTCATCAGTCGCCCGGATCGCTAGCGTAGTTAGCTAAACCTGACTGTGTGGTGGCCTGGTGATAAACTCCTTGTGGTCTGGGTTCACGCCCGGGGGTAGGCAGAAAAGCCTCATTTCTCCCAGATTTATGATGTTTATCCGAGCCAAAAGGTGAACAACTCATGGTTTTTTTATATTTAAAAAAAAAAAAAAACGTGTCATCAGTCACTTCCTCCTTGCTCGCCCTCTTGCTTATCATCCCGTATGGCACTGTTAAATGTAGAGGTTCATAGTTCATTGGTTCACATGATTACAAGAGTCTTGGAACAGTCGTGTCTAATCTTGCTTATATTTTTATACAGAACTGTTTGGGTATTTAGCTTTTTGTCAGTTGTTGTCACCTAATTTTTCCAGCTTTTTCCTATCATTCCCCAGATCATCTTGATTACCAAAGTCTGATGGTATTTAGTCACCATGTTGGGCGACACATAGTGGCCAGTGCCTTAACAACATGTGTATCGGTTGACTCATATCATGACGATGTTCGGATTCTGAATCAGCCGGACTTTAAAAATAAAAATTACCTTGGCTCCCAGATCGACCCAGCCTTGTGTATATACAAGATGCATTCTGGGAAGTAAAGATGGGTGGCTTGATGCTGACCACATCACCCACCAATGCCGATCGGTCTATAAAATATAGGTCTAGCCCTATATGCCCAATACACCTGAAAGCGTGAAAAAGAGTCCTTTACTTTTTTTTTTTTTAAACATATCATGACCCAGTGACCTTTATAAGTGGGGGTTGCGACAAAATTTGACATCAACTGGGATTTTAAAAAAAAAGCTATTTGGCCCAAAAGAAAACCTCTGTAAATACTTTTAAAAAAAATTCATTTATTCATATCCTGACCTCCAAAATGTTTTGCACAGGTGCAGAAACAGCCAGTAACATCAACAATGTCACTATAAACAAATAAAAAAAAGCAACATTTACAGAGAATTGGATTGGACTCTCCTGGAATTGTCAGTTTTGTGACTGACCTTAGGTCGAAAAAAAAAAAAAAAGACTAAAGTCCACGCCTGGTTAAAATATTCCCCCACTGCATCGTCTGTCTTTCCACACATTTTGAAATGAGGTAATTTCATGTTGCATTGCGAGATTCAGTGACACTTATTGAAGAATAAATGCAGACATTTTTGTTATTCCAAGGTTTGTCTGCATCCTGTTGGTGAGTTCTTGGCCCTGACAGTGCCTGGCCTTGCGGAAGGTCGACCTTCGGTTCTCATCGGAGACCAGATAATTTTGTCAAGTCCTGAGGATCCTGAGGGGCCACGTTATGTAGGCTATGTCCATGAGGTAAGGTGATTATTTTTACAGAGAATTGGATTGGACTGTCCAGGAATTGTCAGTTTTGCAACTTCTTTGGACGAAAGGATTAATGGCTGAAGTCCGCTTCTGGTTAAAACATTCACCCACTGCATCACCTGTCTTTCCACATCATCCTAATTATTAGGTCCCCTAGGAAGTTCTAAAGTGGATCCCCGTTGGCTCATTGGAATTTCTAGCCATTTAGCAGGAACATTGCAAAAAGCACATACTCCTTAGCTCTAGTGATGATCCCCAGTGATCTCTATAAAAAATTGTACTTGTGGATTGAATGAAGCAGTCGATAAATGAACCAGTTACGTACAGTATGTTAGTTTAACTGCTTGACCACATAGCCACAAAGATCCCCTACACGTCACTTGGCTGTGTCAGTGAGGTAAAGACAAAGTCCAATTATTAGATTTCACATAACAATAGCTATGCAGTTGAGGTAGGGACACTGTCTAATCATTAGATCCCATATAAGCTTAGCTTAGTTCCTGAGGCAAGGGTAATGATCCCACTAAACATTGGCTGTGTCAGTGAAATATAGACAAAGTCTAATTACTAGATTTCACATAACAATAGCTATGCAGGTGAGGTAGGGACACTGTCTAATCATTAGATCCCATATAACCTTAGCTTAGTTCCTGAGGCAAGGGTAATGATCCCACTAAACATTGTAAACATTGGCTGTGTCAGTGAGCTCAGATACGTAAACAACACGCTTCAGCTCGCTCTCCCTGAATCCCCACTCCATTCAGGCATTATGTAGATTATGATGACTTTTTATTTGGCCAGATAAGCTTGTCTTTCTTATTTTTAGTGTCCAGTGACATGTATTTTATGCTAAGTTGATAAAATGACTAAACGTGTATTGATATTTCTGTTTCACAGTTGACTGCAACCGAAGTTTATCTGAAATTTAGCCCGGAGTTTCACAGCCGTTATGGAGGACAGGATTACAATGTTCAGTTTACATTCAGTCGGTAGGTAGAATGTTGATCACAGTAGCTGGCACCAGCTGGTGGGCACAGTATGTTGAAGCAACCTTGAATGTAAAATGGAGAAAGCCAGAGATTTGGGACAGGACCGAGTCTTTCAGGATCCCTGTGTGGGTTTCGGGGTTCGATGTTTTTGGGGAACGGGGGGATATTGAGCCACTGCCCCCTTCCCCGACAAGCATATTGTAAAAGGTGAATAATTCGAGGTTTGCTGAAATAACAGGTGTTGGGCAGAAAGGTACAGATATTTGCAGCCCAGCTGTAAACCACAACACCCTTTTAAGGGTGGCCGCAGAAGAAAAAGAGTCTTTCCGGCAGACTGAAGAAAGCAGTAATCTGCAAAGGACATGCTGTATGGTGGAAAGAGTGCAAAGAATAAGTACAAGGTGGCTTTGGCGGAATGAGTACACAGACCTGATGTGTAATTGTGTGAGATGGGTACAGTGATCACCAGTGTTTGTCGACATGGCACATGATGTTGTGGCAGATAAGGACTGTTGGTTTTCAAATTTTGATAAATGTAAGCAAACAGGGCCTTTTAAAAATGTTTATCTGGTGCAAAGAAGGAGTTTCACAAACTGTCACTTATAATGTCCTGCTGTTGTCAGAGTCTGTGGCTGACGTATTGCGAATGTGTGCCATAATTACAGGATAGATAGTTGAATTACATTTGAAGGTGATGTAGGAGCAGACTGCTTTGTGTTGATTTAGATAGTGGTATCAAGAGCTGACTGTTGAGAAAGCATTTGCAAAGTACTGAACGCCAAGTTATGTTGTGATTGGTTCTGCGATGTCATGTGAAGGATACAAAGCTAACTTAACGAGCTGATGATGTAATGTTTTAGGGCCCATTGAGAAGAAGAATGACTTTAAGGCTGTTAGTTCCCAACATGAGATCAAGATACCTCCTCATCTTTGAACTTTGTCACTTTTTATTGAGTCTAGAAATATGTTTATTTCAGTCCGTTGTGAGTGACAGAATGGTTCTTCTTTCTCTTTACTGTGGATAATGTTGACATCTTTTAGACTAATAAGTATTATTCTTGTGTCATTATTGAATAAAAAAGGAAATGTATTTCCATTTTATGAGTCTGTAATAGGAACCGCAGTAACGCATGCATATCCAGGGTTGTAACCGACAGTGCGTCAGTCAAATTTGCATTAACTATATCGCTGCAAGTTTACTTAGTCTAAATAGGTTACCAGCTTATTTCGTGAGAAAAGAAGGCAGTTTTTATGATGTGACCATCTCACCTATTGAGTTTCAAAAATGAGGGTCTAGCCCGATGTGCCCTTGGCAGGAAAATGGTCTTGACTTTACTTCTTGTGTTTCTACAGTAGTCATAATATCACACCTGTGTCTTGTAATGTTGCTGGTTTGTGTACGCATATGTTGCATTTATTTATGTTAAATTGTCTAGTTTTCACATCGTATTTTACATTTATACGTAGTAATGTTTGTAGTTTACCCATAATATTTTACAGTTGTACCTTGTAGTGTTGCTAGTTTTGCATAACATATTTAAGATTTAAAGCTGGTTAAATTTATCGTTTACACAACATATTTAAGATTTAAAGCTGGTTACATTTATAATTTACCCGACATATTTCAGATTTAAAGCTGGTTAAATTTATAGTTTACCCAACATATTTCAAATTTAAAGCTTGTTAAATTTATAGTTTACCCAACATATTTAACATGTGAAGCTGGTTAAATTTATAGTTTACACAACATATTTCAGATTTAAAGCTTGTTAAATCTATAGTTTACCCAACATATTTAACACGTAAAGCCTTTTAAGTTTCTAGTTTATACATCATATTTTACATTCAAAACTTTTTAAGTTTCTAGTTTGTACATCATATTTCACATTCAAAACTTTTTAAGTTTCTAGTTTGTACATCATATTTCACATTCAAAACTTTTAAAGTTTCTAGTTTGTACATCATATTTCACATTCAAATCTTTTTAAATTTCTAGTTTGTACATTATATTTCACACATATCTTGCAGTATTACCGTCACATTTCACACTAATCCATATAAGTTATGTCACTCTAGAACCCCTCTGCGCCGCTGCCACCAGTCTGTGTCTTTAGCAGTTCAACTTCTAGGCTCTCCAGGTTTGTATAACTCTCTCTTTGTTGTTCCTCTTATTTGCCTGGATGTAAGATAGTCCACAGCAGGTACTGTATTTGCCCATGTATATGGCGCCGCCACATATAAGACTATTCAAATTTGTTTGACATTGTGGGACAGTGAGGCAAGGTGTATAACGGCTGCTGCTTATGTCAGCTCATCTTCTTCTTCTTCTTCTTCTTCTTCTTCTTCTTCTTCTTCTTCTTCTTCTTCTTCTTCTTCTTCAGGTTTACTGGCTTTAAACTCCGGGGAAAGTTCTGGTTGTTCGTCCACTTCTGGATGCTAGTGCTGTTCCAAAAACTGAATGTTGCGCACACATCTGTTTCACAGGTCTGACTCATTTGCATGCAGACTGTTGGTTCCTGGCCTCTCAGGTAGATGTACAACTTCAAAGGAAGCTCCCATTTAATCAACTCTTACGACATGCTTGTGGGCAGGCAGGGGGTCTATTCTTGTTTCCTCCACAGTGGAGCCCTAGAACCCACACAGAGTCGTACACTTTTGTCTCAGTGTGTACGCTATGTACTGTGATTATACTCCACAAGCAGCGGTAGTGAAAAATGCTGATTGGTGGGGGGGGGGGGGGGGGGGGGGGGAGCGCGCTGGGGCTACCAGAGCTGCCTGAGTGAGTGCATTTGGGGGAATAGGGGATCTGGGTAGCCAGGAGGGCGATTGAGGGAACCTGGTGAAAGGAACAATATGGGAGAGGAATATAGATAATCTGTTCAAGAAATGGTATAGTTTCTAGTTTTGTTTTAATTACTTTCCCAGAACTTTAGCACATATTTTGTGAGGTGAAGCTGACCCTTGAGGTGAGTAAAACTGAAGGACACTTCTCCACACCCTTATGCATATTGTGTATATAGTGCAAGACCTGTTTTGTTACACCAGTCTGCACTTGGGGAGTGGTATGGTCAGCATCATGGCAGCCACCTTTACTTCCCAGGACTGTACCTAGGTACAGAAACCTTGGCACTCTTTTAAGGCTAGGTCAATCTGTGAGTCAAGGTCATTGTTAAAAAAAAAAATTGGCTGGATGCAGATTTGAACCCACAATGTTTGGGCTTGCAGTCGAGCATCTAGCCACTTCACCGTGGGGGTTCCCTTGACCCTTAGGTTGCAGAGGGGGAAAAACAGCTACCTTGCTATGACTGGTAATTGAGCTCAGAACCATTATTGTAGGAGAGCAAGATCACTAATCGCTACACAACCATGACTCGTTTAGATATGTATTTTTGTTTCATGTTCGTTTTCCTTGTTTGTCTCCAGTTCTCTTCCCAGAGCATATTAACCTAAAGAAGCCGCAAGCCATTCTGGAAACTTTGGCTTCCACTGAACAGTCATGCACATCAGACAGGTCAAGAAAATATAATCCTGCCACACCAAGTAACAAGAACCAGGCAGTGCACCCAGAGTCTCCTATGATTAAGTACTCCATCCAAGATGCCCGCTCAAAGCTACAACCAGCTAGCGGCAAGCATACTGGTTTCTTTAATCCCCGACTGAATGACAAGCAGAAGTCGGCAGTGGAAAGAATATTGCTGGGTCAAGCCAGGCCAATTCCATATGTGATATTTGGACCTCCAGGTTAGTTTGGTCTGTTGATTGTGAAAATCTGTGACTGATCCGTTATCATTATCAGGTACCTTATCAAGTGGGGTAGGCAGTCATGCTTCACCACCTCTTTCATTTCTCTGTTATATTGTTCACAAAAGTACTGTAACTCTTTCTACATATTGTTCACAAAAGTACTGTAACTCTTTCTACATATTGTTCACAAAAGTACTGTAACTCTTTCTACATATTGTTCACAAAAGTACTGTAACTCTTTCTACATATTGTTCACAAAATAACTCTCCCATTATGTTGATCATAAAAATACTGCAACTCTTCCATTTTTTGTCATCCTCGCGGGGCCCTTTTGATAAGCATAAACAGTTACGTTTCATCATCTCACATGATTATGAGTTCTGTAGATAGGGGTCAGTGCTCTTGTTTTGTCCCATCTATTTGGCCGAACCATCCAGGAATTTATCAGTCTGCTTTCCACTTGCTGTTTTTCCATTAGTCTTGCCAGTTCTTACCAAGTTCTTGGGTCTGTTCTTTTTTATAACACGTTCAATAATCACCTGACTGTCTGCGTCACATTTCTATAATAAGTTTAGTTTTCATCTGTCACATGTCTTGTTTGTTTTTCTATCATTTCATGATATTCTTTGCATTTTTCTCTAAAATCATATCTCTGCTTCGAGTTGATGTTTGTCAGCTTGTCCACTTATTATCTATTTTTCATCTGTGTGCGCGTGTGCATGCATTTGTGTGTGCATGTGTTTATGGGAGAGAGAGAGAGTGTGTGTGTTGTTTGTGTGGAAAAAAAAAAAGAACAAAATGACAACACAGGATCTATACAGCACCTTAACACTCTTTTTTTCTCTGCAGTCGACACCTTTTTATTGATGATTACCCTTTGCATCTTGCTAAAGGCCATGTTTGCCATACCGATTCTTGTTCCAGTCATGCAAGTCATCTTGCTTGAAATGTTATGACTGTTTCAAGAAAGCTGTATCGACTCAGTTGCTAAAGAATTGTTGCCATTTACAGGAATTTCACACTGAGCTATTTATTTCATCTTAGAACTCTTCACTGGCTGCTGAAGATGATGACGGAGCACTTATGGGAATGCCCTGAGTGCCATGATGTCGGTTCTTGAATCAACTCAACTCAACTCTATTTCATTTTGGTGATGACCATAATTTTTGTTTTCTTACAAATTAACTGTTTTTCATTTGCTTGTCAGGCACTGGTAAAACTATCACAGTCGTAGAAGCAATACTTCAAGTGCTGCACCGCATTCCTTCAAGTCGAATCCTGGCCTGTACACCGTCCAACAGTGCGGCCGACCTGATTGTAAGTCTCTAGTCATTGGTTGTTTTATTGTCAGGCATGTCTTTTCATTGATTGTTTTTATCAAGGTGTTTGTTTAATTTAGCCACCGTATTTTAACTAGCTGTTTTTTTAAATAAGTCTTGCCATTGGCCATTTTTACTAAATTTACTTAAACAAGTCCTGCCAGATTTTTGTTATTTAATTATAATTAAGTATGTCTGGCAAATTATTACTATTATAATTAGGTATGTCTGGCAAATTATTACTTCTTATGAATTAACTAACAGCTATATTGTTTCTTCTTTCTATTTGTGGTAGGCCGAAAGACTTCACTCCAGTGGCCAGGTGACGCAGACAGAGATGGTACGTCTCAATGCATTCCAGCGATCCACTGATGTGAGTCATTTTGAACTTTTCTGTAAACATTGTCAGTATTAACTAGTTTGTTTTAATATCAGTGACTTCCTTGTTAATGATGTGTGTTTTAATCAGTGACATCTTTGTTAATGATGTGTTTTTTAATTAGTGACTTCTTTGTTAATGATGTGTGTTTTAATTAGTGATATTTTTGTTTAATGATATGAATTTTAATTTGTGACATCTTTGTTAATGATGAGTGTTTAAATAAATGACTTCCTTGTTAATAACGTGTTTTAATTAATGACATATGTGTTTAAAGTTGTGTGTTGTAATCAGTTCTTTGTTAATGATGTGTGTTTTAATTAATGACTTCTTTGTTAATGACATGTGTTTTAATTAATGGCATCTTTGTTAATGATGTGTGTTTTAATTAGTGACATCTTTGTTAATGATGTGTGTTTTAAATAATGACATATTTGTTAATGACATGTTTTTTAATTAATGAATATTTGTTAATGATGTGTGTTTTAATTAATGACATCTTTGTTAATGATGTTTGTTTTAATTAGTAACATCTTTGTTAATGATGTGTGTTTTAATTAATGACATCTTTATTAATAATGTGTGTTTTAATTAATAACATCTTTGTTAATGATGTGTGTTGTAATTAATAACATTTTTGTTAATGATGTGTGTTTTAATTAGTAGCATCTTTCATGATTTTACACCGCTTTTTCAGGCATGTGGCCCATCCATTAGTTTTTAATAGATTTCTGCTGCACTATATCTATATCTTGTACTTGATTTTGTTCACATTTACTATAGTCTGTTCACATTATAAAAAAGGAAGTAAAGTTATGGGCCAGTATATTCTGCTATAAAAGGAAGTAAAGTAATGGGCCAGTATGTTCTGCTATAAAAGGAAGTAAATTAATGGGCCAGTATATTCTGCTATAAAAGGAAGTAAAGTAATGCACCAGTATATTCTGCCATAAATGGAAGTAAAGTTATGGACCAGTATATTCTGCCATAAAAGGAAGTAAAGTTATGGACCAGTATATTCTGCCATAAATGGAAGTAAAGTTATGGACCAGTATATTCTGCCATAAATGGAAGTAAAGTTATGGACCAGTATATTCTGCTGCAGTATATTCTGCTATAAAAGGAAGTAAAGTGATGGACCACTATATTCCTCTGACAGACCAGCTTGGGGCAAGCAGTAATTACTGTCTTCACCACTCTGCTGCTGAATTTGCTGGAAAATCTGCTCAGCAAGAAGGTGGTTGCAGGACTCAAGAAGACCAGAAATGATGTGATCGCTGAACTCAACAGGACGAACCTCACCTTGAACCTTATTGGCAACATCATGAAGGAAGGCAAAAAGGAAATAAAGCTACCATATGAAATGGTGGTGATTGCCAGTATGTTCCAGAACGCCAGGCGCTGGGTTGTGTGGACAGTCAGCCTGCACTGTAACGACCAAGAGATCCTAGAGCAGCTGAAGAAAGAAAACCCAAAACTGAGATTCACAAAAGTAGAGAGGCTCGGATCTAAGCACAACCCTTTGGCAGTTGCAGTCACCACTACAGAGGGTGAGTACATCCCAGACACAATATGCCTGAACCAGAGGATGCAAAGGCCCAAGCAGTACATACCACAAGTGCTGCAGTGCTCACGATGTCAGAAAGCCTGGCATTGCTGCTCCACTTGTGCGAGTGAGCAAGAAATGTGCAGGTACTGTTGTGAGCCACACACCTTCAGTGACGGCTCCCCAGCAAAGCTGGACCAAGACTTCAGATCACCAAATAGGAACAGGTAATGCACAGACTGCTCCGGCCAGCATGGGGCCAAGTACCTAGGGTGCCCCTATCTTCAGCAGTGCCGAGACATCACAACAACAGCCATCTGGGAAAACATCCCCTACCATGAGGCCTGCAGGAGACATGATGCGCCCAAAGGCATGGCACCAGCAGTCACCACCAAGCTCAAGAATAAGACAAATCTCGTAAAAAACGAAAATAGACCTCCATGATGAGAAAGCAACATACAAAGCCCAGTGCGTCTAGGAGAGATACGAGATGACTGATATTCGCAGCATCATACAGGCATATCCTTTAAATCTCAGAAAGATCTGGAAGCAGAGCTCGCTAATTTCAAAACTGATATCATGACTGTACTATCTGCGATCCAGTCTCAAAAGAGGCAGACAATCTAAAACACCAAAATTCTGTGCAAACCTGCCCAAGAAGAAGTCAACTTCTGACTTATGAGAGATGCAGCAGCTCCTCCTGAACGAAGTCACCTCGATCAAGAAATCTCTAGCTTAAACAGAGACCAGGCTGTAAAAAGCTAACGAATAGGATGCAAAATTAAGCAGAAAACTACAAGCAACAATCGAGGGGATGAATGCCGACCGAAAAAGAAGCAGACAGACTGGAACCAGGGATGCCAGACTCGACAAGCAGGCAGAATAGAAGAAGACTGCCTTAAAAAATTCCAGCTAGAGATTAATTAGACTGGACCCAGCAAGCAGAAGCCTCATGGACCAAGCAGACCCCATCACCGAGACCTGGTGCAAAACAAGGCAGGCGCCTCAAATACTAACTCAAAAAGCGCCCCAGTTATGACCGGGCAGTCAGCCCCAAACCACAGAGCAGCACCAGACAGCCAAGGTAGAAGAAGCCCACCGAAGCAGGCCTAGACCCCCCTCCTTGGACATAACAACTGACCAATCAGAACCACCCTAACCCACCATGACAGCAGAGCAGACATCCCACTGATCCGAAACGCAGCACAAAGCCAGCCAGGCATTAGACTACCAGAACAGTGAATGAAAGAAATCAAACAACACAAAAGAAAACCTGATCCAGTGATAACCCGAACTATCTCCACAAATATAACAGAAAAGGGCAGAGATCAGCAATGGTTTCCTACCCTTAGTTAAACTTGGACATGGTGAAAATTGAATTGAATTGAATAAATTAACCAGTTTCCACAGCTTGGGCCAAAAGGGCTAGACCTATATTTTATAGACCAATCTGCACTGCGTGGGTGATGTGTCAGCATCATGCCAGCCACCTTTACTTCCCATGATTGTATCTGGTACACATTTAAGGTTGGGACGACCTAGGAGCCATGGTCATTTAAAAAAAAAGTCTCTGTTAGAGACCTTCAGATCCGCAGGTGAGCATTTAGACGCTATAAAATTGCAGCTTTGTATTGACATTATACACTATACTTTATTCTATTCAGAGTATAAACTGTAACTTCTTCTGTTCACAGTATACACTATACTTTATTCTATTCAGAGTATAAACTGTACCTTCTTCTGTTCACAGTATACACTATACTTTATTCTATTCAGAGTATAAACTGTACCTTCTTCTGTTCACAGTATACACTATACTTTATTCTATTCAGAGTATAAACTGTAACTTCTTCTGTTCACAGTATACACTATACTTTATTCTATTCAGAGTATAAACTGTAACTTCTTCTGTTCACAGTATACACTATACTTTATTCTATTCAGAGTATAAACTGTAACTTCTTCTGTTTACAGTATACACTATACTTTATTCTATTCAGAGTATAAACTGTACCTTCTTCTGTTCCTAGTATACACTATACTTTATTCTATTCAGAGTATAAACTGTACCTTCTTCTGTTCCTAGTATACACTATACTTTGTTCTATTCAGAGTATAAACTGTACCTTCTTCTGTTCCTAGTATACACTATACTTTATTCTATTCAGAGTATAAACTGTACCTTTTTCTGTTCCTAGTATACACTATACTTTATTCTATTCAGAGTATAAACTGTACCTTTTTCTGTTCACAGTATACACTATATTTTATACACCTTAAAATACAGCTTTTATTTTTGGCAAAGTGCGAAACACTTTCCTTCCATTTTGTTTTCAGAGCCTACCTGAGAGCATTTTGAAGTACTGCAGATTTTCAGAAGATTTGCAAATGATCTCTCGTTTCCGAGTCATCGTCTGTACGTGCACAATGGCAGGGAGTCTGTATGGGCTGGGTTTGAGTGCGGGTCACATCACACACGTCTTTGTGGATGAGGTTAGAGAGAGTTTTGTAATTATTCTGGAAATCTCTGTGACCAACAGTAAAGATTTAACCATTTCTCCTCCCCTCTCACTTATCCTAGCTCTGTGATACTTTGCTGTTTATCCGTGTTCCTTTTACATCCTTACTATACTATAGATCTAATTATCTTCTCCCTTTTAAAAGTCTCCCTCTGTTACTTTTACCCTGTAGATTCCAGAAGGACTTTCTGGTTATACTATTTACTAATTTTTACAGAGCTAGTTTAATGTTTTTTCCTCATCTCGTGGTTTATTTGGAGTTGTTTAGCTGACTCTACGAGTTCCACAATGGTATTCTTTTATGTCCTTAGTTTGTTTTTTAATACATGAAGTTTAGGAATGGAGGTGGAAGCAGTCACTGCAGCTTTCAGAGGTCTTGAGAACCAGCAGCATACCAATATTGTGATGTAAACAGAAAGCTGAAGCAGACGGAGAAACTTTGAGCAGGCATACTTTCTGCAGAGTGGAAAGCATAGATCTTGAGTAGTTATCTTTGGATATTTTCTTTAGGGCATGTGGTTGTCCTGGTTCTGCCCCATTTAGTGGCAAATCAATGCATGATAAACTAGATCACTCAAACCCTTTGGCAGCAAGTAAAGAGTGATTAGCTCTAAAGAGAATGGTGCAGCCGGAAGGGATCAGAGTATCAGACTGACAACACTCAGAGGAAAGGCAAGACTGGCATACAATCAGACTGACAACACTCAGAGGAAAGGCAAGACTGGCATACAATCAGACTGACAACACTCACAGGAAAGGCAAGACTGGCATACAATCAGACTGACAACACTCACAGGAAAGGCAAGACTGGCATACAATCAGACTGACAACACTCACAGGAAAGGCAAGACTGGCATACAATCAGACTGACAACACTCACAGGAAAGGCAAGACTGGCATACAATCAGACTGACAACACTCACAGGAAAGGCAAGACTGGCATACAATCAGACTGACAACACTCACAGGAAAGGCAAGACTGGCATACAATCAGACTGACAACACTCACAGGAAAGGCAAGACTGGCATACAATCAGACTGACAACACTCACAGGAAAGGCAAGACTGGCATACAATCAGACTGACAACACTCACAGGAAAGGCAAGACTGGCATACAATCAGACTGACAACACTCACAGGAAAGGCAAGACTGGCATACAATCAGACTGACAACACTCACAGGAAAGGCAAGACTGGCATACAATCAGACTGACAACACTCACAGGAAAGGCAAGACTGGCATACAATCAGACTGCTACTGGCACTCTCAGAACTGGAGTTCTGCACTGGCTGCTGAAGGTAGGAACGGAGCATTTATGGGAATGTCCTGAGTGCTGTGATTTTAGCTCTTGCCTCAGCCCAGCTTAGTTTTTCTATTCTCTGCAGACACTAACGGCTGAATGTGTGTCAAAAGTAAAGTAAATGACACTTGGTCACTTCCGTAAGCGAAGATTAGAAAGGTAAATGTGTGAGAAGGCTGTCTGTGGGCTCAGCTGCCTGTGCTCTCATATTCTTATTTCTGTCATAATCCTTAGAGACATAGAACTGAAATGTTCTCAGAATATCGTGAGTCAGGGAAAGGAAAAATACTGACATTCTATAAGATGTGAACATGATTAAAAAATACTGACACTGTAAGATTTAAACAGAGAAGAAAACTGACTCATGAATAGAATCGTATCTCATATATAACAAGACCACTAAAAATACATACTCCTATTTTTCTAACTGTCCATGATTGAAAGCCTTGTGTTAAAACTGTTTCTAAGGAACAGCTGTGTAAGCTAGTAAAATAAGCAGTTTTATTAACTTATTATTTATTCTCTATCATGTCAGTGTGGCCAGGCTACAGAACCAGAGTGTCTTATCCCTGTCGGACTTGTTTCTGGAGCAGATGGCCAGGTAGGACTTATTATTTATATATATCCAAAAACTGCATTCCCAAAAATGAAGTAGATGTGCTGGTCAAAGAAAGAGCAGAATAAGGCCAAACAGAAAGATGAGTCAACTTCTGTTGTTAGAAGTCCTCCTTTTTAAACTGTGTGGTTTCCTCTGTGGGTTCTTGGGCCCTATTGTAGGGAAAAACGAACAGACCCACTGTCTCCAGTCGAGCATGTCATAGAGTTGGCTAATTAGAAATGTTTCTCTGTGGGTTCTTGGGCCCTATTGTGGGGGAACGAACGAACTTCATTTTCAAAGGGTTACAAATTAGGCACTCAGGCCTGTCTTACATTCGGCCCTTCCAAACTCCCATCTTTCACACAGCAGTTGTATTTCATCAATAAAGCATGTTATGTTCATGTAATAATATGCATATTATGAATATTAAGTCAGAAACAAAGGCATGGGTGGTAAAATATGTGCGCACGCTCGCGCATGAACACACACCCTCATACACACGCAAACCCATTCATTCACACACACACATAGGCACCCAATACACACACACACATACATACATACATATACACACATGGATGCATACATACATACATACATACATACAAACATACATACATACGTACGTACATACATACATACATACATACATACATACATACATACATACATACATACATACATACATACATACATACATACATACATACATATATACGTACATACATACATACATACATACATACATACATACATACATACATACATACATACATACATACATACATACATACATACATACATACATACATACATGCATGCATACATACAGGCATACATACAGGCATACATACATACAGACATACATACATACAGGCATACATACATACAGACATACATACATACAGGCATACATACATACAGGCATACATACATACAGGCATACATACAAACAGGCATACATACATACAGGCATACATACAAACAGGCATACATATATACAGGCATACATACATACAGGCATACATACATACAGGCATACATACATACAGGCATACACACACACATACAGGCATACACACACACACATACAGACATACACACACACATACAGACATACACACACATACAGACATACACACACACATACAGACATACACACACACATACAGACATACATACACACATACAGACATACACACACACATACAGACATACACACACACATACAGACATACATACAGTCATGCATGGAGACACACACATGGACACTCCCACAGACAAACACATGGACACATACACCCACAAAGACACACACACTCACGTAGACAAAAATACAGACAGACACACACACACACAGACACTTACATATAACACACACAGGGAAACACACAGCAGTCACATATACATTCATGCTTACATATTGACACACACACACATACATACGCAGACAAACATGCAGACACATACATACAGCGACATAGACACACATGCAGTCAAACACACACATACAAATACAGACAAACAGGCAGACACACACATACTGACACCCACACAGACAAACACGCAGAAATGCATACACAAACACATAGAAAAACACACGCAGACACATATATTCAGCGCGCACAGACATAAGCTCTGACATGCAGACACATACATACAACAAAGGGGCACACACTAACACACACACAAAGACACCTATTGACAAATACACTGAAAGAAGAAGAAGAAGCTTCTAGCTATGAGGAGTATTACATCAAACAAAAGACTTGCTCCCTGATGAGGATTTGTCTCTCTTATTTTGTTTTCAGATAGTTTTAGCTGGTGACCCCAAGCAGCTCGGTCCTATAGTGATGTCTCCTTTTGCAAGAATGTATGGTCTAGAGTTAACTTTTCTTGAGCGTCTGATGATGAGGCGGCCATATTTGAGAAGCATGGCTTTGTTTGCAGATGATGGCGGATTTGATCCTCTGGTGGTTGGTATTGTATTTATAACAGTGTTTTAATTTGTATTTTGTGTGTGTGTTTCTTTGGGGTTGGGAGGTGGGGGAGGGGGTCATTCACATGCATGACTGTAAACAGTATTTACATAAATGAGTCAGATCTGTAAAACGGATGCACACGCAACACCCAGGTTCTGGAACAGGACTGCAGTTCGAAGGTGGATCAACAACCAGAACTTTCTGTGAGAGTTTACAGCTGGTGAACGCAAAGAAGAAGAAGAAGAAGAATATTTACATATATTACAGTTTGCTGATGACCAATGCTTGTTCTGCAGTAAAGAAGATAGACTGCACGATCACATTAACAATAAACAGCTTAAAATTTTGCCTAGATGGTTTGTTAACTGTATAAAAGGACACATGGATAACAATTTGTCTAGAAATGTTTTGTGAAGCATATAAAATGACACATGGACAACAGTTTGCCTAGAAATGTTTTGTTGAGTGTATAAAGGGAGATGTGGACAACAGTTTGCCTAGAATTGTTGTTAAGCAGATAAATTGACACATGGATAACAATGTGTCTAGAATTGTTTTGTTAAGTGAATAAAGTATAACATGGACAACAATTAACAGGTGACCATGCTGATAGAGAACTACCGCTCCCATCCATCCATCCTGGAGTTGTCCTCACGCTTGTTCTACTACGGTCAGCTGCAGCCAATGGCAGATCCGGAGCTGACACACAAACTGGCCACATGGCAGGAGTTGCCAATGCCAGATTTTCCTGTTGTTTTCCATGGAATTCGGGTATGTTGTTATTGTTCCCATTCATCTAACCATATATTGCACCTGTTCGTCCATGCATCCATCCATACAATAATATATCACAGTCAGGCATATTCAGGCAAAGTTATTTTACTATAGATTTCTCCTATTCATTATTCTGTTCTTCTTCCCGTTCACCGGTGATAAACTCCAGAGGTGAGTTATGGTTGTTAATCCACTTCTGGACTTAAGTCTTGTTCCAGAACATGAGTTTTGTGTGCACATCCATTTTACAGATCTAGTTTAAGTGTGTGCAAACTGTTAGTTCCTCGCCTGTCAGACAGATGCACTCTGACTTTAGTAGAAACACCTCAGACTGTCGACTCTTATGACATGCTTGTTAGGAACAGTGGGTCTATTCTGGTTTTGTGTGTGTGTGGGGCCCCAGAACCCACACAGGGAGTTCATTGGTCTGTTGTTGTTATTAACACCTGTATTAAAGGGGGGGGGGGGGCTCATGTGAAGCAAAGAATAGTAACACTGCGCCTTACCATTCATGTCCTAAAATGCAGCTAAGAGTAGGGTTGTGCTTGGGATTGGCTACCTCATCCTGTAAAAAACAGTATCCATAAAAAGCCACCAACCATCAACAAGTTAAAGATGGGAGCTAGAGAGTGAAGTAAAAAAAGATGGGGAGGACATGAGGTGAGCTGCATACAGCAGCTGGGTGAGGGCCTGTGCTTCACTGGGGGCTAGAAGGCAGAAAATGTTGTAGTTATTTCTGTCATTTGGTCATTGGGTAGTAGTCATCTGCACGTTTCATTTTGATGTAGTGACATCGTTTTACGTAATGATAAATAATGTCTTTTACATACACCGTCTGTCTGTCTGACTACCTGCCTGCAGGCGTGCTTTCTTTCTTTTTCACATACAGTCAGTCTCACATACACCCTGTCTCTTATACACATGCTTTCTCTTTCTTTCTCTCACGCAGGGATGCTCTCTTTCACACACACTCACGCACATGATCTTATGTATGCATACAGTTTGTCTTTCTCTTTGTCTTTGTCTCTGTCTCACTCTCTTTGTGTCTTTCTTTCACTCAGATGGGAATGCTCTCTTTTACACTCACATACATACTGTCTCCCAAATACTCTCTTTTACACTCACATACATACTGTCTCCCAAATACTCTCTGCATACACTCACATACATACTGTCTCCCAAATACTCTCTGCATACACTCACATACATACTGTCTCCCAAATACTCTCTGCATACACTCACATACATACTGTCTTCCAAATACTCTCTGCATACACTCACACTCTTACACACACATGATATGATGCTTTCTTTTACACTCACATACATACTGTCTCCCAAATACTCTATGCATACACACACACTCTAACACACACATGATATGATGCTCTCTTTTACACTCACATACATACTGTCTCCCAAATACTCTATGCATACACACACACTCTTACACACACATGATATGATGCTCTCTTTTACACTCACATACATACTGTCTCCCAAATACTCTCTGCATACACACACACACTCTTACACACACATGATATGATGCTCTCTTTTACACTCACATACATACTGTCTCCCAAATACTCTCTGCATACACACACACTCTTACACACACATGATATGATGCTCTCTTTTACACTCACATACATACTGTCTCCCAAATACTCTATGCAAACACACATACTCTTACACACACATGATATGATGCTCTCTTTTACACTCACATACATACTGTCTCCCAAATACTCTATGCAAACACACACACTCTTACACACACATGATATGATGCTCTCTTTTACACTCACATACATACTGTCTCCCAAATACTCTATGCAAACACACACACTCTTACACACACATGATATGATGCTCTCTCACTCCCTCCCTACCCCCTTTCCCCCTCTGACATTCATTTTTTACACTTGCGCATGCACATGCACCGCTTGAAACATCCTCATTATGTTATATAACCCCTAAATGAACACAGAGATTTCCTCTCACTGCAGGGGGAGGACGTCCGAGAGGTCAACAGTCCATCCTGGTTCAACCCAGGTGAGACTGTCCAGGTGGTCAGGTACCTGCAAGGAGTCCTGAAAGAAGGTGTGAGTCCAGATGATGTGGGGATTATTACACCTTATCGCAAACAGGTGACTCAGTCTTGATTTGGTACTGTTGTATGAATGATAACTTGTATAAATGGATTTCTGGCTTGTATGATTGTATGAATGATATATTTTGAAGATTTATGGCTTGTATGATAGTATAAACTAATATTTTAAAGGTTTCTGGCTTTTGTGATTGTATGAATGATATATTTTGAAGATTTCTGGCTCGTATGAATTATATATTTTGAAGATTTCTGGCTTGTATGATTGTATGAGCTATGTGTGTTGAAAATAGATTTCTGGCTTGTATGATCACATGAACTATGTATGATGAAAATAGATTTCTGCCTTGCTTGATTTTATTGTGAGGTTAAGATGCTTGATTGGATTGTGAGGTTAAGCAGTCATGTGCAGGATGCGATGATTTCTTGGGTGAACCCAGAACCAGAGTGTCAAATGTTGGATCTGCATTTATGGAAGCTTCCTTGGATGACGGGGAATACCCATGATCTGCCCATGCCTTCCCTTAAGGGCTGACCATTACACATAGGATGGCCCTAAAGGTGGTTCTCTGGGGCCATACCTGTAGAAAAAGGGACAAAGAGGACAGCACACAAATGAAGCAGCATCTTGTCCCACAAAACAGTGGCCCCAGTTCCTAGAGATAGGCTTGACGTCTTCCCTCAAAGTTGAAGTACATTTGCCGGAAAGGCAGGGAACGAGAACTGCACACAAATAAGTCAGTAAAACAGATGTAAACGCAAAACTCAGGCCCTGGTAAAAGCCAAAAGTCCAAATGGACGAACAACCACAACTTTCTGCCGGAATTCACAGCCAGTGAACAAGAAGAAGTGTGAACTATATATGTTAAAAATAGGTTTCTGGCTTGCTTGATTGTATGAACTATATATGTTGAAGATAGATTTCTGGCTTGCTTGATTGTATGAACTATATATGTTGAAGATAGATTTCTGGCTTGCTTGATTGTATGAACTATATATGTTGAAGATAGATTTCTGGCTTGCTTGATTGTATGAACTATGTATGTTGAAGATAGATTTCTGGCTTGCTTGATTGTATGAACTATGTATGTTGAAGATAGATTTCTGGCTTGCTTGATTGTATGAACTATATATGTTGAAGATAGATTTCTGGCTTGCTTGATTGTATGAACTATATATGTTGAAGATAGATTTCTGGCTTGCTTGATTGTATGAACTATGTATGTTGAAGATAGATTTCTGGTTTGCATGATTGTATGAACTATGTATGTTGAAAATATATTTCTGGCTTGCATGATTGTATAAACTATATATGTTGAAAATATATTTCTGGCTTGCATGATTGTATGAACTATGTATGTTGAAAATATATTTCTGGCTTGCATGATTGTATGAACTATGTATGTTGAAAATATATTTCTGGCTTGCATGATTGTATGAACTATGTATGTTGAAAATATATTTCTGGCTTGCATGATTGTATGAACTATGTATGTTGAAAATATATTTCTGGCTTGCATGATTGTATAAACTATGTATTTTGAAGATAGATTTCTGGCTTGTATTTACTGTATTGATGAGAGCTTGTGTGGAATAATTTTTGGCTGTATAATTGTATGAATTATATATATTGTTTACTTCCAATCAGTGCACTATGAAAAAGTCAGCATTCTTAAAACTCTGACATCTACTGAGAGGTACACAGACGTAAATTCTAGTTAAAAAATCAGTCAGATAGAAAAAATTTCTTGTAGATCTTTCCTGAAATGTTTTTGGTACTTACTGTCTCTGTTAGGTGGAGAAGATCCGGTTAATGATAGATCGTCTTCTTTTGCCTGAGGTCAAGGTGGGGTCAGTGGAAGAGTTTCAGGGTCAAGAACGACAGGTCATCATCATTTCTACAGTAAGTAGGTCATAGTTTGTGTGGGTTGAATGCAGCAGTAGTGACACTATAGTTAGTGCACTTATTGAACATTGGTATTGTTTCTGTAAGATTGCTTTTGTAACTCTGGATGTTTGCTGCCATGTTAGAATCGTTACTTTTGCAATAAATGAAGTTAAAGACATTTTTTTCTTTAAGGAAACGAACTCTGTAGTGCTCAAAGTAAATTTGTTATGAATTGTATCCCTTGTCGATGATGTTAAACTGGCTGTTTTTATAATGACATCATTTTGTCAAAGCCATCACGGATTTGCCGTGGCAAAGTGTTTTGTGAATATTTCTGGTGCTACAAGTGATTTTGATGAATTTAATGGGCAAGGGAAGGGAAAGATATTCTTGAACAGTTTGATAACTTTGACTTTAATCGTTCTTATGAACTGCCATCAAAAAACATTGTTGAAACTTAAAGTAAGAATGACATATCGCATCACCCGTCAGTGTAAACAAATAACAGAATAATTATTACCACCATTTCAGAGAATGATGTGTGAGAGGACCCTAATCTGTGAACTGGTAATTGATGTCAACTCCCAACATACTATGTGAAGAATTATAAGAATTATTGATGTGTGAAAAGATACATGAGAATAGACTATGAGGCATCTGTAGAAGACTGGACATATTATTTAGACAGACAGACCTACAAGCACTTGCAGTCACAGAGACAAATGGAGGCAGTGATTTATGCAGCAGTGAACCTCAAGGACTCAGAATACTGAAGGAAGTTGAAGGGATTATTTGTGGTAAGAAAAAGAGGAAAATTGTGGCAAGAAGGAGAGGGAAATTGTGGCAAGAAGGAGAGGGAAATTGTGGCAAGAAGGAGAGGAAAATTGTGACAAGAAGGAGAGGAAAATTGTGACAAGAAGGAGAGGAAAATTGACAAGAAGGAGAGGAAAATTGTGACAAGAAGGAGAGTAAAACTGACAAGAAGGAGAGGAAAATTGTGACAAGAAGGAGAGTAAAACTGACAAGAAGGAGAGGAAAATTGTGACAAGAAGGAGAGGAAAATTGTGACAAGAAGGAGAGGAAAATTGTGACAAGAAGGAGAGGAAAATTGACAAGAAGGAAAGGAAAATTGTGACAAGAAGGAGAGGAAAATTGACAAGAAGGAGAGGAAAATTGTGACAAGAAGGAGAGTAAAACTGACAAGAAGGAGAGGAAAATTGTGACAAGAAGGAGAGTAAAACTGACAAGAAGGAGAGGAAAATTGTGACAAGAAGGAGAGGAAAATTGTGACAAGAAGGAGAGGAAAATTGTGACAAGAAGGAGAGGAAAATTGACAAGAAGGAGAGGAAAATTGTGACAAGAAGGAGAGTAAAACTGACAAGAAGGAGAGGAAAATTGTGACAAGAAGGAGAGTAAAACTGACAAGAAGGAGAGGAAAATTGTGACTAGAAGGAGAGGAAAATTGTGACAAGAAGGAGAGGAAAACTGACAAGAAGGAGAGGAAAATTGTGACAAGAAGGAGAGGAAAATTGTGACAAGAAGGAGAGGAAAATTGTGACAAGAAGGAGAGTAAAACTGACAAGAAGGAGAGTAAAACTGACAAGAAGGAGAGTAAAACTGACAAGAAGGAGAGGAAAATTGTGACAAGAAGGAGAGGAAAATTGTTACAAGAATATTCTTGTATCATGTTTGATACACTTATCATGTCTGTTGTGACTGTTAGATCAGTATTTATTGATCGTTTAATTGCAGGTTCGATCCAACGAAAAGCTAATCAGTTTTGATGTTCGTCATTCCCTGGGGTTTCTTAGTAACCCAAAGAGATTTAACGTGGCTCTCACACGAGCTCAGGCTCTGCTTATCATTGTAGGCAATCCAGTTGTTCTGCGCCAGGTAAGCTAGTTGGGTTCTCCTTAAAACTACGGCCACTTATTATGGCGGCCGAGGGAACGACACAATTGGCGATAGCACTGCTGTCATAATAGGGTTAGGGTTAGTGTAACACATGTAACGTCGAGAACTTACCCATAATGACGGCCGCTATATCTGATAATTTTGACACAGGAGTTGCACATAATGTCCGACAATGTGCTGCTTGTGGCAGTGGCGCCATTGGAATTCTGTTAAATATGACGGCAATAGCGCCCGGCTAGTGCCCAATTGGTGCCGAATTCTGCGTTTCAGTAGCATCCAGACCCCGTCAATCGTTTGGGTGTTTATGTCCTAACCCTAACCCTAACCCTATTATGACAGCAGTGCTATCGCCACTTGTTTCGTTCCCTCTGTTCCACTCCGTAATTGCAATGCGGCCAGGGGACTGAACTCCGGCGTACTCCCCGGGCCGCCATAATAAGTGGCCGTAGTTTTAAGGAGAACCGCTAGTTGTATTTTGATTGTTAATTGTCTTGTTTTTAAATAGTTAGGATGGTATACTGTGGGATTGTGTTGATAATGGTGATTGTCTAATGATTGCTGATTTTCATTAACTATGATTATTAGGGATACATTTTTGCATTTTTGTTTATTTTTTGTAAGTATCCAGAAACCATGAGTTGTAAACACTTTGGCTCGGTACTGTGGAGCTGGCAACTCTTTGGCCTTGATTCCATGATAGATACCGTAAATCTGGGAGAAATGTGGCTTCTCTGCCTATCCCCGGGTGTGAACCCGGACGACAAGGAGTTTGTCACCCGGTCGCCGCGCAGAGGGGTTTAACCAACTGTGCTAGCGAGCCGGGCTTTTGTTTATTTAATTTGCATGATTGTTGATTGTGTCAATTGATCGTATTGTAATGGATGAATGTGTTCTTGTTAATTGATGATATTGTGGTTGTTGATTGTGTTTATTGATCATATTATGATTGTTTATTGTATTTGTATTTATTGATTTTCTGTTTATTATGTTTGTGTTTATTTATAGTCTGTTTATTGTATTTGTGTTTATTGATCGTATTATGATTGTTGAATTGGTTATTGTGTTGTGCCTATGTGGTGATTGTACATTGTTTCATTGATTGTGTTGGTTTTAAATTATACATTTTGTTGTGAATGATGGTTGTGTTTTCATTTACTATTGTTGATTGTGTTATGTAGTACGGAAATTTCGGTCATAGGGGAGAAACTAATGAAGGCCGTTGTGATATGTATAAGGATATACTTCATACCGTAACTCGGGCACCATTCAGCACTCTGCTTGTTTTACAGATCCTCATGCCTGCAACACGTCCCCGTTGTGTGCCGTGTATAATTGCTCATATGAACTTAAACTGAGCTAGTCTAATAGCTTTCACATGTGATGCCTTAGAAGAATACTTGGCAGTGAGTGGCAGCAGGACAAAATTACAAACACTGAGGTATACTGGAAAGAGCAGGTACTACAACTGTCTTTTCCATGCTCAGTCAACGAAGGCTCAGGTGGCTGGGTCACACCTGGAGAATGGAGGATGGCAGAGTCCCTAAGAAAATCCTTTATGGTGAATTAAAGACAGGAAGAAGATATCAAGGCCGTCCTCAACTACGATATAAAGATGTGTGCAAGCGGGACATAAATGATACATGTATTGAGGCGGACTCATGGGAACAAAATACTTATGGACCATGGTGTGTGGAGAGGGTATATCAGGAAGAGAATGAGACTGAAGGAAGAAATGATTGCAGAAAGGATGAGAGCTGAGCATCTGAAAAGAAACGGATTAAACACAAATGTTGTTAACAATGGTCCTGAAATCCCATGCTATCATTGTGGAAGACACGGGCGGGTCTTGCTAGTCACACTCGCTATCGCCATGGGTTGTGAGTCTCATGCCTCCTCATAGCGCAGTATAACACTATGTTCTGGGAAGAATTATGAATGAATGATCTGGCAAGGGATCTCAGAGTTGGTGGCCTCCGGAGATGCAGTGCTCAGTGCCCAGAAATTCTCTGGCTATCCTCAGCCCACCCCCACTGTATGGGTGATAACGTCCATCAAAACTTATTTGGAACATGAGTGAAGCCCACCAGCCAGATATACCGCTAAATGTCAAACCTTGGTCACAATGTCTGTAGAGTGAAAGAACTATAAACTGTTGAAACTCAGCCATGGAACCAAGAAATGGGCTCACATCTTAGATGAGCAACATCTCCTGCGAGTGGTATATTCGTGGCACAATGCTTTCTTCATAGGTCATTTGTCAACCTTCGGATTCATCACCACCATTTTGAGGTTCACCACAACAGTCTATCACTGTCAGTCAGCTGAGTAGGCTCAAAGTCTGCCAGAAACATGTCCTAGGACATAACAGCAAAGTCTTAAATGTCCAACCATCAAAAGTCCTACTTTCTGGTAGAAAGGTTCAGATGTCTGTTACCATTGGCCCCACTCATCAGAGTGTCGAGAACAAACAGGGAAAGCCATGCCTGATGCATACTTATCCACACTGTTATGCCACCTCTGAGAATTGAACCTAGACCACAGTTCTGGCAGGATTATATGTTAGTTGCCCAGCCTTTAAAGGTGTTGCAAACTACCAGCAGAATTTGTTGACTGTTTGTGGTTTTACTAAGCAACTGTACGCTCGGTAGTTTGCCATTTAAAAGCAACATTAGAAAGACAGTCATCACTTTTTGGTCATGTTCTGAGAAGAAGGAAATCAGAACATAGAACATCTGGTGACTACTGGACAGATCTGTGAGAAAAGGAGACGGAGAAAGACAGCATGATACAATTCTTGAAATAGTATCAACACGGATACATATTGGCGATCTCTCTGGCAAACCTCTACACCCCAAGGTAGGAGAGGAGCGACTAAGTAAGACGATCACATATAAACTGCTGATAAGATATCTGGCGATCTCTCAGGCAAACCTCTACACCCCAAGGTAGGAGAGGAGCGACTAAGTAAGACGATCACATATAAACTGCTGATAAGATATCTGGCGATCTCTCTGGCAAACCTCTACAGGTAGAAGAGGGGCGACTAAGTAGGACAATCACATATACACTGCTGATAGAGATGTCTGGCGATCTCTCTGGAAAACCTCTACAGGTAGAAGAGGGGCGACTAAGTAAGACAATCACATATAAACTGCTGATAGAGATGTCTGGTGATCTCTCTGGCAAACCTCTACAGGTAGAAGAGGAGCGACTAAGTAGGACAATCACTTATTCTGTAGAGTTATTGCCCATAACTTTTGGTGTTGGTGAGTTTGGCATTGGGAACTACAGTAGCTTAGCGGTTACATGCACACCTTCTGGTCGGAAGGACTTTGGTTCGATCCGCTTCAACTCAGGTATATTTTGGTCTTGGCTCGCAGGTCGACCTAGCCTAAGGAGAACCAGGTAATGTCCTAGATAAGTGGTTCTCAACCTTCCTAAAGCCGTGACCCTTTAATACAATTCCTCACATTGTGGTTGACCCCTGACCATACAAGTTTTTTCGTTGCTACATCATAACTTCAGTGAATATATGTTTTCCGATTGTCATAAGTGACCCCCGTCAAAGGATCATTCGCAAAGAGGTCATGCCCACATATTGAAAACTGATGCCCTAGATAGTTAAGGTGGCTGACACGAGCTTGACCTAGCCTCAAATGGGAACCAGGTAATGTCCTAGATAGTTAAGATGGCCAGCACGACGTTGACTACATCACCCGTCGAGCGCAGATTGGTCTATAAAAATATTATTTTAGCATCATGGTGGATGCATAACAAAGGTGTTTTACTGACTTTTTAGTTTGCCATTGTTTTTTGATTGGTTGAGTCTTAATATCACTATCGAAATCAGCATAAAATGGTCTGCTGTCAAATCACCAGCAACTGAATTAAGCTGGGTAATTCAGAATTATAAATTTTCCAGAAAAAAATTAGCGAGGGCTCGCTTTCAAATCCAGCTGAGACTGTCAGCAGCACACGGCCAATGTTTGAAACCGGGCAGTTCCCAGGGTTTACCCAGCCTGTGGGTAATGGGTATCAGAGTTAACACTCTGGGGTAAATAGAACAATAAGTGCTCTGCCACCAGTACAGACAGCTAAAAAGACACTTTCCGCTTGTGTCTCCATCCGCACGCAACTCCGTAGCTACTGGTGACAGAGCACTTATTGTTTTATAACCATGTGCAATGACGCTGGTTCACATCTCCTGACTTTACCTTCAGAATTATAAATTCTTCTTGGAACCTCTGATTCACAGGCTGTGACTTACTATATATATATATATATCATCTTATTATGGTTGACATTATTTCAAGAAGATGCTTGGTTCTTTATTTGCAGGACCAAAACTGGAACCTCTTGATTAACTACTGTGTAGACAATGGAGGTTATACAGGGTGTCAGCTGCCTCGTGTGCCCGTTAAAGGCTCTGATGATGAGAAAACATCAGAGGATGGCTTACCCAGAGAGAATATGCACGTATAATTTCATTCATAGGCTGAAAGGTAAAAACATTGCAGCAATGCTGAAGACATTTAAAACGCAATTAGATTCACAGTATCAGTCCAACAAAGAGGCAGGAGAAAACAGATCTTGTCCTCTGTGACCAGACCAGCATTGCAGTGGCCTGTGTTACAGCACCAGTATTGCCCAGGGGATCTGGCCGATGCTCAACGCTCAGGGAAGGACGGGGCGTCTGTACAATTTGACTGTTGCTGGTGAAGATGGGAGCGGAGTGCTTATGGGAATGTCTATAATGCTGTAATGTTGTTTCCTAACCCACTGACTATCTCGATCGCACGTTATGCGGTCCGCTGACTTTTACGCCAGGCTGCCTCGATCGTGCACCCTGCGATGGTAACATTGGACTCTCACCTCCATGTTAGAATACGACTTTTGCGATAAATGTAGTTGAAACCATAAGTCCATTCATTTATTTGTAGGAAACAATTCGGTAGTTCTTAAAGTAAATTTTCCACAAATTGTTTTGGTTAGCTCCCATCTCGATTACATATTAGGCACATTTTTTCATGGAGAATATTTATGATGCAGCGGGATATTGTCTTAAATCAGAAAGTGAAGATGAAGATATTTCTCAACAGTTTGATGACTGTGATTTTGATAATTCTTATGACCTGTCACCAAAAGTATTGTCAAAACTGGAATACGAGGTTTCCCTGACAGCAGAGACATGGCAGTGGGAGGTAGGTGTGTTCTGTTACATTAGTTCTTGTAAACTGTTACATGTATATGCTTCAGGTGTGTACTGTTCGATTCCTCTGTTAGTATAGATTATGTATATAACGGTTCGGTGGCTTAGAGTTTAGTGAAAATCATTTCACAATACATCCCTTGACATTTACCGGAGTGCCATTCCCAGGATGCACGTTTTGGGAAAAGATTGTTTTTGTGGCCGTTTTAGTTTGACTAGTTTGACGGATCAGTCATACTGTAACAGGGGTTCTTGGTGCAGAATGGCAGACAGCCACTGAATTTGCAGACCCTTGGGTCTTTTTGTTAGTATATTGTTGTCACAGAAAAAGAATTTCTTTCAGTCGCTTTTTTTTTTGCATTAGTCTGCAGACACATGATGATGATGTATGACAAGATCATGCAGTTTTTATTCTTGAAATTTGTTCTCCATTCAGTTTGGTGCAAACAATTACAAAATATTAGGAGTTTAAATCAAATACTTGTATTAAATACTTGGCATTTTTAGTAGACACACACACAAAATGTGGTATCTGGTAAATTTAAAGAGTTAACAGGCTTTGTAATGATTGCCTCCACTTCCAGTGTTGGTGCAAGCCTTCACTTCCAGTGTTGGTCCAAGCCTCCACTTCCAGGGCTGGTCCAAGCCTCCACTTCCAGGGCTAGTGCAAGCCTTCACTTCCAGGGCTGGTCCAAGCCTCCACTTCCAGTGTTGGTGCAAGCCTTCACTTCCAGTGTTGGTGCAAGCCTTCACTTCCAGTGTTGGTCCAAGCCTTCACTTCCAGGGCTGGTCCAAGATTCTTGTACAGAGCAATTATTCAGTCTGTTGAGATTAGAAGTACTGCATCGCATCTCTGGTCATTTTGTCCAGATTGATTTGAATACTGTCCTTGTGATTGCCCATATTTTTAGAAACTAAATATGAAGGTTTTTACTTTACTTGTGCAGGCTAATGAAATTACCATAATCATGTTCAGTATCAGTAAGTATGGGAGGGTATGGTTCAGCATTTTAAACAATTACCAAAATATGTCTCTTGTTTTTTATCTTTTGCACCTTTTCACACTTTTCTTTTCTCTGTCATTCTTGCTCGCTTTTTTTTGGTCTCTCTTTCTCTTGCTTTCTCTCTCAGTCTTGTTCTGGTGTCTATTTAATTTCTCTTATTTTTCTTCATCTTTTCATTTGTTGCTGTCACATTTTCTCTCTCACTTTCTCTTGTCATTTCTCTCACATTTTCTCTCTCACTTGTTCTTGTCCTTTCTCTCACATTTTCTCTCTCACTTTTTCTTGTCCTTTCTCTCTCATTTTCTCTTACCCCTTTTCTATATTTACTCTCTTGAACTTTTACGCTTTCCCACTCACCCATTTTTCCCCTCTCTCTTGTTCTTGTTCTTTTTTTTTTTTTTTTTGCACTTTGTTTCATGCTGTCTTATTCCCACTTGCTCTCTCATTATTCTCTATCCTACTCATTCACTCGTCGGCTCTGTGGCGAACGCTTTGTAATGCCCGGTTCGATCCCAGCTGCGGCCCATTTGCCTTGCGTTGGTTTCGACAGTGGTATCAAGAAAGCCGACCGTCCAGAGGCAATGGCAAACTACTGGACGTAAATTTGCCTGGAAAAAACACAACTGCCAGGGGCTGTTGGGGTTGGTTATGCAACATCCTGTAAAGGATACGCAACTAACCTAACTCATTCACTCACTCTTTTTTTGTTCTCTCTCTCATCCTGTCTTACTATCTTTACCGCTGTCTTGTCCGTAACGCACTCACTCTCATACACTCTTATCTAAATGTGTACCGTGAAATTATATCCAGGTGTTTGCCCTATGTGATACATTTCCCACAAGGCCAGATCTGTGCCCAATGTTTCCCCATGCTCATAAATAATGATACAATAGAAGTTTAACAAACACCACAGGAGTGCAGGCACCAAAGATCTCTCACAGCCAGACACAGGCACACAGCAGCCTGCTCCAGGAGCTAGTATTTATTGATCTGTAGGAATATCCAGACCATTAACTTGAGGGATTCCGGTTTTTTTCACAGGACAAAAGAGGATCAGACTGGTTAAATTGAGAGACCAGCACTGGAAAAACTAGGGGGGGGGGGGGGGGGAGAAGGATTCTCGGTAACAGTATTTTATAATTGATGAAATTAAATTAGTATGTGTTTGAGTTGGTTAAAATTACTTGTATTTTAGTTGATTAAAATCACTTATATTTTAGTTGATTAAAATCACTTATATTTTAGTTGGTTAAAATCACTTATATTTTAGTTGGTTAAAATCACTTATATTTTAGTTGGTTAAAATCACTTATATTTTAGTTGGTTAAAATCACTTATATTTTAATTGGTTAAAATTACTTATATTAAAATAACTTATTTCTGAGATGGTTAGAATAATATATAGTTGCAGCTCCCTGGCAGAGCTGGACTTTTTTTTTTTAAATCACCTTGTCTACCAGGTTGGCTTAGCCTCATGTGTGTACCAGGTGCAGTCCTGGGAAGTAAAGGCGGCCGGCGTGATGCTGACCACACCACCCATCTTGTGCCGATTAGTCTATAAAATATAGGACTAGCCCTATACGCCTAAAGCCGTGGAAAAGGGTCCTTTACTTGAAAAAAAATTGTGTAGTTGCAGTAATCAAATTGGGGATTAAAGTTACTTATATTTGAGGTGATTGAAACTGCTTATATTTGAGTTGATTAAAATGATGAATGTTTAAAGTGATTAAAATTGTTTATATCTGAGGAGATAAACTGATCTATATATATATGGGTGCCGACAGCTTATTTGGTGTGTTATTGGTTCCTTGTCTCTCGGGCAGATGCACTCAGACGTTGAAGCAATCAACCCTAATTAGTTGTCTTTTATGACATGTTTGTGAGAATGCAGTGGGTATGTTCTTATTTCATCCAAAATATGGCCCTGGAACCTACACGGGAGACAAATAGATTGATTGATATGTCTGTAGATTAGCAAATAGATAAATAACCAAACAAACTCTGGGTACACCAGACAGAGGAAATACAGATGGGTTGACACATTGGCGTGGAAGGCGACCGGAAGACAGGTGGCTGTGGGGTAACATGATCGCCCGAGTAGCTGGCACAGGCCCGTGGGTTTCAGCAAAACTGGAAGGAACTTAGTGAACATGTTACTGATTTTCTTCGGAAGTCTCGCAAGCCAGTTCTTCTCTTTCAGCAGCTCTCCTCACAGATGTGAAGCTGACATTTTTGTCCAGGGATAACATCCAGATGTGAAGCTGACATTTTTGTCCAGGGATAACATCGAGATGTGAAGCTGACATTTTTGTCCAGGGATAACATCGAGATGTGAAGCTGACATTTTTGTCCAGGGATAACATCCAAATGTGAAGCTGACATTTTTGTCCAGGGATAACATCCAGATGTGAAGCTGACATTTTTGTCCAGGGATAACATCCAGATGTGAAGCTGACATTTTTGTCCAGGGATAACATCCAGATGTGAAGCTGACATTTTTGTCCAGGGATAACATCTCGATGTAAAGGCAGCCGGCGTGATGTTGACCACATAACTCATCTTGTGCCGATTGGTCTATACAAATATAGGTCTATAGAAGAGAAACGTGGCATCAACAACAAAGTGCAGGGCAAGATAAAGGGAACCACGAAGGACCTGCAACTGACATGCGAATCATAGAGCCAGCCCACCTGACGATCTGACCTGAGCGAACGAAACCGAACGCGAAGAAGAAGAATCAAAAGATGCCTTGGAAGTCGCATGGTGAAGAGAGATATAAATCGAGAACCTCTGCATAGGCTGTTAGAGCTTGAAGAGACGCGGATGAGCATCTGCGGTCAACACTGTTGTAATCAAACTCGTATGATCTGGTGTAATCGATCTCGTATCGAAAAATGGTTTTGCTTACACAGAAGAGAAACTCCGGATAATAAGGTTCTCTTGTGGTATTGTAGTAGTGGAATGTTGAATCTGGAAGTTCGTTTATTTGAAGATGGAGAGGGAAAATAAGGCACGTTCTCACACACTGCTCACACTCCGATTTGTTTTCTTCTGCTTCTCTTCGATGCTCGGCTGTCGGGAATCTCTAACATTTTCTGACTCATCACGTTGTCGAACATCTTCTTTTCCGTCTATATTTTGGTCTATCCTTTGATTTCCTTTCTCCTCTTGTCTTTTGATCCCTTTCCTGATTCCATTTTCGTCTTTTTTGGTCGTCTTAGTTCCCTTTATCATTTGATAATTTTCTAGTGTATTATTTTCTGTTTCCT